CGAGAAGGAATTGAAGGACACTTACAATGCCAAGTTTTTGAAGAGGAAAAAAAAGAAAGGACTTGAACCAAGGCCCAGAGGCGTGATATGTGTGCAAACTGTTTTAACTTACTTGGATGGCTGGTTGAATTATTCTGAAAATGAAACCTCTGGAATTTGTCTCCAGTGCAAGGTCAGGGTGATGCCTTGAAGAGACCCTCCGTTCCTTAGGCCAGTGGGGCTGGGGATGATAGGAAATGTAGCCCCGAAACGGGGGGGGGGGGGGAGGCACCGTGACGAAGGGGAGTGCTCTGAAGCAAAGGAAATCAAGGCCTCTCTGCCCAGTGCTGGTTTTGCCCATTCATAAATGCAATTTACACAAGAACAGATGTTGTTACTCCCAGTGATGCTTTTGTGAGAGAGATGACTCAGGTTCCGTGGTGAGAACACAGCTTTTCTCCATATGTCTTCACTTTGCTGAATGATCCCCGGCTTCCACAGGCATGCTAACAACTCCAGCAAGAAATAGCAGAGAAATACTCCTCAGGAACTCTGTTTGGAAGAAGTGGGCATTTCTGTTCCCTTCCTCTTTACCACCACTACCACCCCGTTTTTAAAATAGCTTTATTTTTGACTCTCCTCTTCCTGTTGCTAAGGAGTGGTTTCTCTACAGATACAGCGAGCCCCACAAGATAGGTGTTCTGAGGAAACAGTTAAACCTTGAGGTTTTTTCAAATCTTGAGGAGGGAAGTTAAAGACCAAAAAAACAAAACAAAAACACCAGTAATCTGTGTGTTTTGAAAGAATGATAGCATATCCTGTTGGGGCTTTTGACGGAGGATTTCTATGAGCTGAAAATGTCTACTCACAGTCCACTAGGAAATTCGCCTATAAAAACACCAATTTGACATGAATGGAGCTACGTGAGAATATTGCAGCCTTTGTCATCTTATTTTTTGCTGCAGTGTGATTAGCTTTTTGGTGGCTTTTTTCCCTTTTATTTTTGCCATCCGGTAGAGAAGAGTCATCGCCATAGCAACACAACTGTCACAGCTTCGAAATGCTGCCCCAGCACAGGTGATTAGAAAACAACGCAACAGCCTCTGAAAAACAAAATGCGGGCGTGTGGCTTTCTTCATGAATTCTCACATTGATTCAGATTCTCACATCTGAAACTCACGTTTCAGATCCTTGACTGACTGGTTGGGGGATGGACAGGAAAAGCCTGAGGAAGAAATATTTGCATTTTTACAAAAAATGCTATGCCATGAATTTTCTGGGTTGACCTATATAGCTCTTAACACGTATTTTTAACTTGGGTGAAGCGAATTATAAAATTAGGCTGTTTCAGGTTGGGCTCATTCATTTACAAACGGGTCCGTAGCAACGTGTTTGCATCATATGGGGGTATAAACAGGATGATGAAGAAAGGGCGATTGGCTATGCAGAGGGAGACTTGAGTCTCTGCTCATCATTGAAGCTGGGAGGTTGTTACGTTGATCCAATTGCTGCCTTGCTCACCAACCTCTAAAGAGTGCGAAGAGGATAATACAGGTATTTATGTAGCTCTACATTTTCTTTGTGCCAAAAGAAAAGTGTCAGTAGCAGTGTTAGGTGATGAATCCTAATCAGATCGCTTGACCACCTGGCCTGATTCTGTCTGCTTTCAAGGCCATTCTCATCTAGGAGTTTCTCCCATTGTCTGTTGTAACTTTTCAACCCTGGGGCAATCTGGAGGTGTTGGTTCTACAACTCCCAGAATTCCTAACCAGCAAGCAGGAAGGTTCCAAAAGAAAGACAGACAGACAATGGAACTGGTGGAACTGGTGATGCTGGGGATTGAACCCAGTTCCTTCTGGATGCAATCATGTAGATTTCCATGGAACTGTAAACCCTGCAGTAGTTAAGGATTCTTCTTATAAGAATGACAAGGCCTAGAAGGCATATGTAATGATGTCCCTGCACTTTCAGCAGCCTAGCTGCCCCCTAATGGAAATGCTGAATGGAATGGGTAGGACTGGATGAACAATGATTCCCCAGATTCTTGTTCTTCGTGTGCTTTAGGGTGCAGTCGACCTCATCCAAGAAAATAACATAATGTGTTCTTCACTTCCTCATTTCCTGTTGGAAATAAATTCAGTAAAGTATCGCTGTGTTTGTGACTGGTACTATCATTTTGCCACACTGCTCCACATTTATCTGAGTAAAAAGAGAGGGCTGCCTCTAGCAAAAAAGGCTGCATCTAGGAAAATCCTGTGTTACCTGTCTTTTAACTTAGGGCAGTAGGACCTGCTGCAGTCTAGAAATGCAAATTGTCCTTCACCTTCTTGCGTTGCTACCTTTACCCTACAGAAGATAAAAGGGAGATTCTGGTGTTGAACTTGTTGAGAATCTTAGAAGTGATTTTTGCTATGGTGATTGGAGCTCTTGGAAGGAGAGGTTCAGCTCTTTACTTGATCATAAAGGTCACGGAGTGACCTTGAACCAATCACTAAATCAACTTACAAGGTTATTTTGAAAAGAAAATGCAGGGGGATGCATAGTAGGATAAAAATGTGTGTGTGTGCGTGCATGTGGTGCATTCTATTCTGGGAAAGGTCTGAAGCTAGCTTTGCATATGCAAATATCCTTCCTTCCCACCCCCCATTTCAGAAAGTAATCAAAGCACACAACTCATGATTCTACTCCTGCAATGTAAATGAGTACAGTTTAGCATCAGGTTTACTATATTGGGTAGAAGATTTCAGATTGATACTGAGATTGAATGGATTTAGTTACTGTCTCTGTCCTGTTCAGAGAATAGAGCTGCCCAGTGCAACAGGGAGGCCGTTGTATATTCTAGAAAACCTGAGTTCATGAACATATTGCTCCCCCCTCCAAATTCCTACAACCATGTGACATGTGAGCCAAGCGATCCATGCAGGCCTTAGCATGAAGGGAATGTTTCACTAAATTTTGCTGTATGCTCAACCAACAGATCTTCATAGTGTCATTTGCCATCTAGCTATCTGTGAAAAATATAGCTGTTCCATTCTCTGTTGAGTTCTGCCAGAATCAGATTCACTGAATTGCTGGTATGAGAAAAGATGCTGGTTTTAGGGATAAGTTCTTTTTCTAGTACCAATGGATGCTGAG